AAATGTTGCATGTTGAATGCAATGAAACTGGATGCATCTACTGCGACATTAATTTGCACTACTTCTCTTTTTTGCTTGTCATGAGGCGATGCTGTTCAAGAATAGAATAATTCATTTCCCCCATTTTGACATTTGCTGATAGTAGCCGAAGCATAGTGAAGAAAATTACCTGATAATTTCAACCTTGGGGCAATTCTTCTGTAGCAAGCCAAAACTTCTTCAAATCCATGACAAGGCGAGTTATCACTGTGGAAGCTGAATACCTCTTTATCATGAGTCGTAGCTGTTATCGTTTGTAATACTAACATTCAGAGGGGGTGCAGACTAAACGATAAATGGGTGTGTACACGTGGAGAAAGTTATATTAAAGGGTAAATTAGATACAACCCCCTCATTTATTTCAACAGTCGAAAATCACCTATCAGCTCTTTTATTGGCACTTATCATGATGGGAGGGAGTTAGCTGCAATTCAAATTGCCGATCCAGGGATTGAAGGAATAGATGAGAGGGGCTTCTCTTGCAATTTACCCTATTATATTAAAACAGAGGAGAAACAACTGACCATCTCCAAACCCGAAACAGGGAATCAGGTTGTCTTCATCAAAGGGAGCCAAAGTCTTTCCAACTATGGAAATGGCTTGTTCATAAGGATTCGGTCTATCACCTATTGTGTGCAAGCTCTGGTTGTTGAATGAATATTTCCCTTTGAGAAATAAAAATATAAATCGGCATTAATTATATAATTGCTGCGATATTTAACTAGACAAAGATAATAATAATAATACACTTCAGTTCCACCTGTCCACTCATTGCTCTTTGTGAAATCAATTCCAACAATCAGATTTGATGATTCTAGGCCTGATTCTCTCAACGCAGCTGTAACCTGTAGAGGATATGAAACTTCAAGATTTTTTTTTTAACATCATGTTGTGTACTGAAAAAAAGATGAGGGACAATTGTCTTTTGGACAAATTGGTGTCTAACATTTCAGCATCTATGGTTTTCTGTAGAAGCTGATGATGATGACACAAAATATAACCGAACCCAAGGTATTTTAAACCTGTAGGCAAACGCAATCCTATTCAGAACTTACGTACCTATTGAATGTATCAGCTCCTCGTTGTGAACTGAATCAAATCTAAGGGCCTCTAATTACAAAGGTCGACGAGTGCAAAAGATCATTATGCTTGATAAGTTGCAATTCATGAGGTTTGTATTAGTAAAAGATATTGAATGTAAGATTTTATTTTATTTACGGCATACTTTAGTTGCATGTCGATCTCATTGACCTGTAGTCAGTCAGTCTTCATCTTCTTTCACTCTCTAAAGTATCTATGCACAGCTTTAGTTAGATTCTACATTTCTTGGTTTTGTTGTTAGAGCAATGTAACATGTATTTCGAACGTAAGTCTCAAATGACATAGTAGTTAGTATTATAGTTAATGGGGGTAAGGTGGACTAAAGGTAGACCTAAGGACGTTGATTTGAAGCAATTAAGGTAGATATGGTAATAGTCGATAGCAATAGCTCTTTAATGTTAGCCATTAAGAAGGATATGGTAATAGCCATCGCTGATAGCCCTTTAGTACCGAATGGATGAATAAGATTCATGTTGCTAACTTAGTAAATTTACAGTAAATGCTCTTTTCTTATTGTTATTCCATAGTGTATATTGGTGCCTGGCATTACTATAATGAAATCGTGCACAATTATCACAGACCGATCATGATGCTGGGTCACCAAAAAATGATAGAAAATATATATCATGTCCATGGAACGTGATGCACCCAGGATAAAAGAAAGGCCGACGCTCTGGGGACCTCTGAACTTGGGGGTTCTCTCTTTTGCTTAGATGCACCATTTTAAGTGGGAGCATATTTTGAATACTTCTCGTAGTAGTTACACTAAGGGGCTGTTTGGTTGGGGGGTTTTGGGCGGTGTAATATTGTAGCTGTCAGATTTCTACAGTATTACATTAAAAAGAGTGTTTGTTTTGACAAAGTGGGATCTGATGCGGCATGATAAAAGCTAAGTTGGCATCCTCTTGTTAATTCCTAGCAGGAAGAAATGTTTTGGAAGCGTTTTATTGTAGCTGTCAGGCTGAGGTGGACCACTCAATCCTTTATTACTGTAGCAATCCCACGAATTACATGAAAAGAGCTGGACCCTAAGAGTTATATGTTTGATGCACAAACAAAGAACTGAAATAGAGGGCTGCAAACCCACACTATTTCTATCAATAGTAAAAAAATTTCCCAAATATCCATCGCGTCTACAAACAAAGACTAGCATAATTCCAACATGAATATGCGAACATCAATGGAAGAGTAAAAATTTCCAAGTAATATTGACCTGTTCAAGGGATGTATAATTGTCAGGGATATATGAATATTTCTTGGCAATTACTCTTCTCTGTTGATTACTGTTTCCTTGCTTAACAGATTGCTGCGACGTCAAGTTTCTAGTTGATGGCTGCCTCCCGACATCTCTTGCTGATGGCTGCCGCCTCCCGACATCTCTTGCTGATGGCTGCCTCCCGACATCACCAGATCGTTGATTTCTTCGTCCTCGATGAAAGAGTCCTCCAATTGCATTGCCCATGTAGCAGTCCACGCACAAAAAGGAAAGCAAGAAGGAAAGAGGAGCAAGAAGGAAAAAGTTATTTTTGTTCTTAATTTGGATGATGAGTAGTGGTAATGTTTCTTTTGATAAAGGAAGCACTTTCTTGATCCTTCGTCATAAAACTAGGGGAGAATAAATGCTCTTCCTTGCCCTGTGAGTGGATTGGAAGAAACAAACTTTATTCCTCGATCACAAATGTTGGCTCCTCTCTTTGCCCGTGTGGTTCTTTCCTTGTTGCAGCGCATGTTGGAAGCTTTGTTCATGAAAATGCAATTTTGCCTTTGTGAATAGTCCCACATTGGAAAATAAGATGAATAGTAAAGGGTGTATAATGATTCTCTCCTTATTGGGCTTTGAATAGTGTTTTGGGTTTTGTGGGCTTTGCATATCTACCACACGCGCGCGCGCGCGCCTCGCACCGCACACGCACACTTTTTTGCTTCTCAAGCTTTTATTTTTGCACGTTTTACACGTTCTGTAACGGCTGCATGCGGGTAACGGAAGCAAGATTTGTGCGTAACGGTCCCTCCTTATTGGGCTTTGAATAGTGTTTTGGGTTTTGTGGGCTTTGCATATCTACCACACGCGCGCGCGCGCGCCTCGCACCGCACACGCACACTTTTTTGCTTCTCAAGCTTTTATTTTTGCACGTTTTACACGTTCTGTAACGGTTGCATGCGGGTAACGGAAGCAAGATTTGTGCGTAACGGTCCCTTGGATTCAGCGGGGGTTACACCTCTCATCACCTATAAAAGGAGGCTTGGAGCTCATTCAGAATCACACCAACGAAGAGGAAATCTTCTAAACTCTCTTCTCTTCTCTACTCTCATACCTCCAAGAAATTTCGGCTACATATTTATATTTCTATTTGCTGGGCAACCGTTTTCGTCTGAGCATAAGCTCTGTGACTCACGTCCGAGTGCAGAGACCGGCCGATTCCGCGGGTTTTTACCGCTAGGGGAGAGGACAAATTGCGCCAGGGCGATAGGCGGGTCCTTAATCTTCTAGGGCAGTGATATCACGACTGCTCCCAATCAGGCCTGAATTTTCTAACTCTTTAATTTGTTTTTATATTATTATATTCCTGTTTTGAAAGCAATCTAGAAGATTAATTAAAAATTCTTGCTGTTAAGTTAATTAGTTAAAAAAATTTATATATATATATTCTTTGCTGCTTCTGTGCTCAATTTCAGTATCTGTCATAAACAAAAAATCTTTAAGTGAACCGGTTCAAGTTTTCTTGGATTAGTTGGTGTCTAAGGAAAGGTTTAAGGGTTGCGTAAAGCGCTCTGCAAGAAACGAGGTACTTAATCGATCATTGATCAACCTCTAGTACTATCCTTACCTGGCCAAACTACCCGAGTAAAACTTTTATCTTTTCACTTTCAGAGTTTTTGATTTAAAGCAGGTTTAATTAAGTTTCTGGTCTAGTAATATTGACAAAATCCTTTTTTATATCAGATTACATCTACCTAGACTAGTAAACTTGAATTGGACTTATGGCAATTCCTGATTATTTAAAAAGTGTCAAACCTGAGAAGTTCACCGGTGTTAACTATAAACGGTGGGCTAATTAGATGAAATACTGACTCACTACCTTAGGTCTTTTATCTGCTATTGACACTTCTGAGTCATCTACTAGTGGTTCTCAACCTTTGACTCCTGATCCTGCTCAACCTGCTCCTTCCACTTCTGGTTCTGGTGCTAGCTCCTTTTCTAGCTCTATGAAACCAGAAGAAATCAACTATCATTGTTATCATAGGATCCTTAGTGCACTTGCGGACAATCTTTACGACATATATTATGAATTCAAAAATGCAAAAGACCTATGGAATGCTCTTGAAGCATAATATGACTATGATGATGCCGGAATTCTGCGTTTCATCTCCTCCTCCTTCAATAAGTTCATGATGGTTGATGACAAGCCCATTAATGAACAAATTCATGAATTCCTAGATTTCCTCCGTCATCTCCAATCAAAAGGAAACACTTTTACTGACAATTATAAAGTTTCATGTTTGATTGATAAACTTCCTCCCTCCTGGTCTAGATTTGCAGGAGATCTCCGACACAAGCAATGAGATCTAACCTTAACTGAAGCCCTCAAGGCTATTCGTATTGAAGACCAGCATAGGCAAAATTCCAATACCAAGAATGAAACAAAAGCTAAAGTAAACTTGGTAGAGGATAAGCCTAAATCTAAGAATTTCAAACCCAAAGGGAAGAAATTCAAGAAAAATCAACAATCTTTCAACAAATCTTTCAACAAATCTTCCTTCAAACCAAATCCCAATTCTTCCAGCCATAAGTCTGATGAGAAGTTTTGCTTTGTCTGCGGTAGAACCAACCACATGGCTCACAACTGTTTCTTTCGGAAGAAGGAACCGGCCAAACCTGCCCCTAAAGGAAATGGGTCCAACAAAGTTAATATGATTGAAATGAATCCAACCTCCTTCAGGTTAGCCTCTTCATCTCATCTTGTAAATTCTCTAACTTCTTCCACTGATTGGTATTTGGATTCCGGAGCAAATATCCACGTCTGTAATGACCGCTCTTGGTTTTCAAATTATCAGGAATCACGTGGAGGAAGCATAAGCTTAGCAGATGACTCCACTAAATCAATAATAGGAAGTGAAAGTATAGAGCTCTCCATGACTTCTAGAAAATCTCTTCATCTGCAAGGCGTTTATCATATCTACCACAAACTCTAATTTTTTTAGTTTCTAAGTTTACTTAAATATTTAGTTTTTCATTCATGGAGAGTGTAATCTTCTTTAGATCCGGCCTTCTTTTTTAATATTTTCTATTAAAAAATCAGTTCAACATACATAATCAACTATTAATTTTCTTCTGTCATGAATGGCAATTCATCCTCATAAGCATGTAGTCGTGTTCTGTCAGTTTTAATTTTAATAAATAGTTGTGTGCTTGATATTCTAAGCTGTGTTGGTTTTAATTTAATTGATGCATCTAATTTATGGGTTTTACAAGAGAATACTAATGTTAATGCTGCTCAACTGATGATTTGTAATGGGCTTAGTGATTATATATGTTTTATCTCTCGTATTATCCGTATGTTTTTAAATGGGCTTAGTGAGATGTAGTTGCAGTTATTTTGACGTTTCATACCATCACAGCTAGAAGTTTTAGAGGCTCCAAAGTTCATTACATATCTAACTAATAAATCCAATCCCAAGGAATCGCACCGAACCGACTTTGATCAGTTCGATTCGGATTTGAATCATAATCGGTTCGTTTCGGTTTGGCAAAATTTTAACAAAACCAAACCGACCGATCATTTGCTCACCCCCAGTTGTCACAGAACATGTATCGTGCTCCCCCTTTGGCATAAGAATCCCTTAACCAAGATTCCCTCTTTAAATTAGAATGTATTGTTCAGCGTCAAATACGCCGCGATGCATGTTCATCTGCCTTTATTGTAATGATAAACAATATGTCAGGCAATGCTGTCATTTTATACCCAGATAAGATACCTCTCATAACAAAGTGCACAAAGACACATCAGCGCCATAAAATCAAGGTCTAAGGATTTCATCTAGGGAAGCATAAGCATGTACATCACACGCATCAGAAAATCCCTTTATACGTACGGAATTAATAAACCAGTTGTACATTATCCACATATCCTCCTCAACCAACCGAAGGAGACAAAGCCCATCAAATCCAGAATCCAAAAATAAAAGAAACAAGAAAGAAAGAGACATCACAACTTCACCATCTACAAGCCAAAATGCAGAACTAGAAGTAGCTAGGTAGAAGCAACTAAGAAAAAGCACCATCTAGAGTGGGGAAACCAACAAGCAATGTTCCACAATCAACAATTACTTAACTTGGTTAGCTCAGCAACTGATCTGACAGAAAACCCTGATATTTGAAAAGTTCAGATCATCTCTCCTGACCTGGCTGTTTTCATGTTTACATGCGGTACCCCTGCTCTAAGCGTTACGTCAGATGATTAGGAAACAAGTTTTACAGAAGGAAAAGATTCAGCCATCATGTACAAAGATACTAGATAAGGCTATACAGCACCCTTCAGTAACTGGAGAACTTGGTCCTTGAACATCCGTCAGCGCAAATTCTACGATTCAGCATCCAGAATCCCCGTAACAAACCATAACTAGTTACAATGTGATTAATAATAGAGCAGCAATCAATTTCAAGCATCAGCTTTTAGAAGAGCACAAAGGAATATATTGCGAGAAAGCGAGATCAGAAGCTTATTTACTTTCACATTTCAGATTTCACCCATCTTACTTTTAATACTGTTGTAGTTCTCTCATGATAGTTACATGATTTACATCTAAAAGTTTTGTACTGAAAAAGGATAATCAGTGAAACTCAAGACTTCAGAAGGTGAACTATAAGTCTATAACCAAAAAAAAAAAAGGGTTCAAATCTTTAGTCCAGCAAAAGAGAACATAAATTATAAGCTCAAATGATAACGCAGGTCAACTAATTGCACTGCATAGTGGAGTATTCTAGCCTACAACCGACCAAGAACGACGAAGAGAATTCAAATGATTAGGCATAAATTGTAAGAAAATTCAAATGAATAGGCATAAAGTTGCAAGTAAAAATCCGAAGGGGGGACATAAAGGAACATTTCAAAAGTCAGCACTAAAGTTATATCCAACAAAGTATACACAAGTAAGTAATTATAATTGAATATTATACCAATATAATTTTCCATAACAATCATTAAACCTGAGGTCAACCATGAATTGGAGAACCTAGCATCCTTAATACCTTCCATGGTGAGAATAACAATCACATATATGTAAGTTGTGAGTCGTATATAAGTTGAGAGCCCTCACATCATATATAAGCAAATTTCCGTATATATATAGACACAATTGCTGTCGATTAATACTTATTTTATGTACTAGGGGTTTTGTTGAAACTGCAAGAAGCCTTTTTCTGCTAGCTAACATTAGATCAGCTGGGTTTGATTTTCCATGTAATCTTGTTATACTACACATTTATTAACAAAATCTATCAGCCCATATCAATACATATTGGCTGAATCATACTGGACTTTTAAGTATGCCAATGTAGACCCACTGAAACTTGTTGGTACCGCCAATATTGGCTAGTAAGAACTTATGCAGCCTGATGTTGATTAATAAAATCTGATATAGGAGAAGATTAGAGAGTTCAAGTACCACAAGCTGAGTTCACAGTGTTATCCTAAGGGGACAAAAATAGATACAAAAAGAGATCGACAAACGGACAATTTGTAACTAAACAAACAAGTAGCAATACTTCCAGTGTAATTTTTTTAGTATGTTTCAATGAGCTTTTCATCTGTGAAGAAGAACAGGATAACAGAGACATACCATGTAATTAGGGGATCCAAATAATGCGAGAAGTATGACCTAAGGTTTGGTCATATTTCTCCACTTGTCCTTCAAATCTACCTGTTCATTGCACATCTAGGGTTTAAAAGTCACTTCATTAAGAAAACAAAACCATAATTAAATTGAGTCAAGCCCAACCTCTGTTCTTTCTTGAAAAACATCTCGGTAGTTGTTTAGCATGATTTTCCAGTTTCCTTTTCCATATCTGAGATGAAAAAGAAGCACACTGTCAAAAGATATATACATTATATTGCAAGAATTTATATGAAAAATGAATCAAGATTTAGGTTTATACTATATATTTAAATTACCAAAAATAGTAAATACTTAGTTGTCTAGAACAAAAGTCTAAACAATTTGCAGGAGAACCTTTCTAAAGTAAAATTTAGGAATCAGCTACATGCATACTTGTTTACAGCTTCCCTCAGAGTGTCCTCTTCCTCCACACTCCATCTCTTTCTTCTTCTGCTTACTTTTTTGAATTCCACTGGTTTCAAGGGAGAAACTCTCGCTGTCTTGGGACTAGGTAAATGGAGTTTCTTTGATGAAGATGACGCTCTATCTGAATCAGACTCAATTGAATCATCGTCCCACTGCAGAAGGAAATCAATAAGAATGATAAACTACAAAACAAAGACATAAAGGAATAAGATATACTCCTATTGTTATACACAACATCAAGAGAATTGAATATGAGAACTACTCAGAAAGCTAGGAGAAAGAAGAAAGCTGTACATCAGAATCAAGGTGTAATTTTCCATCAAAATCTTCTCGGGAGATTGGTTTGCTCAAAAAATATACTGCACAGCCATAAAGTCAGGAAGAGAAATTATTCTTGGTCAATTATCATAAAACTGCGTTCAAGATCTCTGAGGAACCAAATCTATCCGAGTAGAGAGTTTGACCTCACAGTAGAGTTAGTGAAGGATGGGTAACAGTTTCAGGTTCTAGTAGTTTACCACATTGGCTTCAAGAATAGTTTTCAACTGAAGTATCAAATAAAAGTTTAGTTTCATGTATGACATATTAATAATCATGGAACTTTCAGGTTGCATCAGTTTCAGGGTCTATGAGATGATGACCTGTTTTCTATGTTCATGAAGTTTATGGTTAAAGATTATGTAAATAAAATGGATTTTGGCTACCTAATGATAGATCATTCAAATACCTGATAAGTTTGTGCAGTTGGGTTCCGGTCC